CCCAGCCCCAGCCCCAGCCCCAGCCCAGCTCCCCGGGACACCCACCCCTGACCACCACACTGCGTCGCCCAAGCCGTCACACCGACGTGCCCACCGGTGCCGCCGCTCCGCGGTGCCTGGGCTCCCGCGCCGCACATGGGGACGTGCGCGGGGCAGGCGCTTACGGCACCGACCAGCACCGTCCCTCCTGAGCCTGGAGACCCGCCTGAAGGGGCCGCAAACTCCTGCGAGAGGGGAGGAGGGGATGAGAGTCTGGCAGGTGGGAGGTAAGGGGGTTGAATGAAGTAGGTAGCATTCTAAACCACCGAAGGATTAAAGCAAGGAAGGGATGGCGTCTTCCACAAACAGTCATTAGTGAAGCTCGAGGGTAGATGCAATTGTTTTGTTTTTTCCTCCCTTTGATGACCCAGTTTTTTTAATCACATCAGCACCAGGCTCCAGTGTTAATTTTTAAATATGCTCGGGTAACTGAGAGCATTAACTATTCATGATCTTATCTTCAATAGCTGTTGGTTCTCTGACACTGTGCCAGAGTGGAGACGTACGTAATGAACCAGGGAGAGCTGAACTCACCAGGGAAGGCCAGAGCTGGTTTTTCCTGAGCACCTTGTTGAAATGATCACAGGACGGGGTGGGGTTTCACAACACGTGCTCCCAGATAAATCAAGGCTTGTGCGACAGGCTCGTATCGTTGGGGCCACCCCCCTGCAACTGTGGTGGCCTGAAAATAACCAAGAGCACGCAAAAAGCTGGGATATGGGGGACGCTGCAGACACTCACAAATGCTTCAGCTCCCCCCGGGAAACCCCAAGGCAGTTTATAAACACGAGGGGAGCCTCCTGAGCTGGCTGGAGGTCGAGGCGGCTTTGCTGTCCCCTGCCCAGCCAGGTACTGCCCAGGCCAGGCACCAGCACCGGAGGAATCCCTGGTTATCAGGCTGTGAGAGGATGAATGCAGACGTCAAGTGCCCGCATGCCGAGGAAGGGCAGCCCTTTGACTCCTGCGGCGAAGGGAGACCACAGAAGTCGTGACCTCTGCTCAGCGCCTGCCTTTGCTTTTTGAGGTTTCAGCGTCAGCCCGACGGACACGACACGCTCCCCTCCTGCGGGAGCAGACAGAGCCACGAGGAACCGGGTGGCGCTGCCGAACGCACCGCACGTTGCCACCGAACCCCAGGCAGGGACCCCAGGCGAGGCGGCCAGCGGCTGCCC